GTGAACTGGTCCAAAGACCTGGTTCACTTCTTTGCGGGTGGATTCAGGTATTGCAACAACCGCAACCAAAAATGTGAAAATGCGCAGGGATACTATTCATTCTGAATGGCACCCCCATGCATCTAAAAACACAGCTTGGTTGCATGTGCAGTAATCGCAGGGAAATCACATGTTCAAAAACTCCATGAAATTTCCCTGCGCCCGCATTTTTAAAAAGGTACAAGAACTTTTCTTTTTTTTTTTTAAGGAAAACGTAGGCATGGCAGCCCATTCAAGCATAGGATGCAAATCCAAACAGATGTGAACCTAGGATAAACCCATTACTTTATGCAAATATATGAATATGTCCTATAAACACATTCAAACACATGTATGTCATTGCTAGTCGGAACGAGGCATAAAAAAAACTATAATCATTAAATTAAAGCCACTTTCAGGCCTAGACTTTAAAAAAAAAAAAAAAAAATTTGACTCCAAAACATTATAATTTTCTTTGAACATTTTTCTGAACTTATTTTTCCAAAGTAAAGAGGCTCTTCGTACCTCGGCTTGTCATGTTCATGTCATTTTAATTTGCTTTGCTGGCAGTTTTGCTTAGAAGAAAACTAAACAAAAAAATGTAAATAAGACATTTGACTGAAAAGTCAACAGAATAATCAGCATCCTCACTGAAACGGTTACAGCCTTCTGTAAAAATCAGAATGTCTACTTCTCAGGTATAGCTCACTGCTCTGGTGAGCATTTAGATGGACTGTGTCAGCAAATCTGGGCACATTACCAGATTTGTGGTAGAATAGTAAGGAATACAAAACGTTAAACCAGGCTCAAAATGTAAAATAAATCTAAACCTCAGATTAAAAATTTAATATTTTGCAGCTTATTTTTGCATTTTTATTTGTTTTTGGGGGGGGCATATACATTTTTGGCAAGTACAAAAAAAAATACCCGTGGACCTTGTCAGAAATGTCGGTGTACTTGTAACGTCCTGTGCAGTCACCTGAACGTTCAAATAACTTTTCAGCCTTTGCAGTTTTTATCTGAAAACTACAAAACATCTCCAATCTTGGTAATGGAGAGGGGGAGGTGTTCTGTGGTTATGCGCTAGGGGCAGCCTTTTCTTCAGGGGTGCCTTGGCAAACTTTCTAAAAACTGGCCAAAACTTGTATACAAGCCAGTGAGTGGAACAAGTCTGCCTTTTAGTTACACAAAGCCACAGGTTTTCATTGTGCACCATTATGACCTTCTAGCCGCTGGCGTCCTGACAACCAATTACATTATCAGTTGATAAGGAGGATTTCAGTTGCTTGCACACCATCCTAGTTTGACCCTCCCCTGCCCCTCTCCATCAATGCTGGGAGCCACATTAGCTCAGTGATGGAGAAAAACTGAGGGGAGAAGAGAAACATTGGAATACTAGTCAGTAACATTGTGCAAAAGTGTATTTGCTTTGGAAGAATAAATCACTTCTAATGTTGGGTGTTCTACGTGTGTGGATGTTGCTGCATTATTTAAAACATAATAGTTTTTCAAATTTTAGAATGGGGTGCCTCAGGACTGTCCATAATTTTAAAGGGTGTCTTTACTGGAAAAAAGGTTGAGAAAACACTGCACTAGGGGGACAACCCTGCTTCTCCACAAATAAAGTACAGTGAGTGATTGTCCTCATCCTAGGACAGGAATGTGTCACTGGCAGAATCATCATATTAAAAGCCGGAAAAAGAAAACTTCCACTTACATTTCTGGAGGGAATCACAGTGCAATCCCCACTTGCTCTTTACCTCTCAGTGGCTGTCAAATATTTATTTTCAACTTCAAATTGAACCATGGAACCAATGCGTTCTGGGAAATCTGCAATTTAAATTGGACCTATATTAGATGCCCCTGGTAATGCAGGTCCCATTTAAAGAGGAATTCCAGGTATGGATATTTTATACAGTTATATTGGTCTAGCTCGGACCAATGGACATAACTTTGTATATACTGTACCATACCTGGCCTATTTAGAGATGCTGCATTTGTCTCCTGCAGTGATAGCTGAGCGATCAAACACAGCTGATCGCTCAGTACTTTCTCCCTTCACTGCAAGCAGAGAGCTGTGATGGTCAGTCTTTGCCTCTCTGCTCTGCCCCTCCAGCGCTCACTGGAACGCTGACCTGTGGATGGGGTGGAAGGGGCTGGCACAGGATATTATTATTAGAAGTGAATGGTGGAAAGGGCATAAATGGACAGGCAAGCATTTTTTTCACAGGTGAAGCCTACAATTTGAAAATAATAAAAATGCAGTGGGAGGTGTGGGGAACCCTCATAATAGCCACAGTAGGTGTACAGACCATGGGGTTATCGAGGGCTTCCTCTATCGAGCTTTCTCTGACTGACTGCAGGGGAGAGGCAGGTAGTTGATGTCATTAAGTTTATTCACAGAATATCAAGCTTCCTGTTAAAGGCTGAGCAGCTCTCAGTCCAGTTCGATTTTGTTCTGGGAGCAGGATGGAAATTCCCCGTCAGCTTGGACAAAATGAACTATTCAAAGTTACAGTAAACATGGATATAGGCATTAAAGTGTTACTAAATCCACAACAGTAAAACCATTCTGTATATGCAGTAAAGCATGCTTGTTATACTCGCTGCGGAACCTAAGGGGTAATCCACTGCATTGTGTGTAAAAAAAGCCGTTTAATCCGATTATTTCTGCCACACCTCTTGTTCAAATGTCCACAGCTTATCTCCTGATAAGCCAGACTGAACTCAAAGCCATTCTGCACATGCTCAGTTTAGTGTGTAGTGACAGAGAGGGTTTTTTTTTTTCTTGGGAGAGTGCATTTGTTCAGCACAGGGCCAATCAGCACTGTCCAGACAGAGGTGAGGGGTTTTGTATCCTCCTAGAGCAGAAAGAAAAACTCCTCCTACAAGCTTTAACAATTGCTCTGCTGAACACTGATAGAAGTCACAGGACTGCCCTAACTGCTGATGAGAAAAGGTATTTAGCAGTTTATAATTATGAAAATAATTGCATTTCCATGTTCTGTGTACTGTGGGAGACCAGATATAGTGAATGCAGGGTCCTGGGTTTAGTAACACTTTAAGGCAGGGGTGGGCAACTGTGGCCCTCCAGCTGTTGTTGTAGAACTACAAGTTCCCATGAGGCATTCCAAAACTGACAGTTACAAGTATGACTCCCAAAGGCAGAGGCATGATGGGACTTGTAGTTCACCAACAGCTGGAGGGCCACAGTTGCCCATCCCTGCTTTAAGCAATTAAGTTTGGTCACCAGTTTGTGCCTAGCCTGTTCTTGGACATTGAAGGAGTAGCAACAAACTGATAAGGTTATCACTCTGCTCGCCCCTTCTCTGAACATATTTGAACTGGTTACTGATAGCACAGTGTATATGTGTAGAGCAGGGGTCTTCAAACTGTTGCCCTTTGCTTGCCTTTACTTGGCCCTTGGGGCACTATCCCTCCTGCTGACACCCACGATGGGGCATTAATCCTCCCATTGACGCCAGTCCTCCCATTGACACCGACAATGGGGCGCCAGTCCTCCCATTGACACCGACAATGGGGCGCCAGTCCTCCCATTGACACCGACAATGGGGCGCCAGAGTCCCTCCCATTGACACCGACAATGGGGCGCCAGTCCTCCCTTTGACACCGACAATGGGGCGCCAGTCCTCCCTTTGACACCGACAATGGGGCGCCAGTCCTCCCTTTGACACCGACAATGGGGCGCCAGTCCTCCCTTTGACACCGACAATGGGGCGCCAGTCCTCCCTTTGACACCGACAATGGGGCGCCAGTCCTCCCATTGACACCGACAATGGGGCACCAGTCCTCCCATTGACACCGACATTGGGGCGCCAGTCCTCCCATTGACACTGACATTGGGGCGCCAGTCCTCCCACTGACACCAATGACAAATTTTTTTTTACTCCCACTGACCATCAAGCCTATGGCATAGCTTACTCCCATCGATGCCAGGGAATTTCCTACTCCCACTGGCCATAGTCCGGCCCCCCTAAAGTTTGAAGGGCAGTAAACTGGCCCTTTGTTTTCAAAGTTTGGAGACCCCTGGTGAAGAGCACTGACTGACTTCAATCTCCAGGTGTTAGTGCTGCTGTGCAGGCTTATATCAGGAGATTCAGAGTGTTATGCCAGTTCTATGTAAAAATAAATTTATTGATTTTTACTCCACTGACCTGCAGATGAAAAGAACAGAGGTATAACAATGTAACAATAGCATTGCACCTTTTTCACAAATCCGGAAGTCTTCTAAATGTGAATGCATAACATTCCAGCCTACATCTATCAATCCACTCAGGGTATACTCTACAGCAGGGGTGTCAAACTGGCGGCCACCGAGCTGTTGCAAAACTACAAGTCCCATCATGCCTCTGCCTTTGGAAGTCATGCTTGCAACTGTCAATCTTGCAATGCCTCGTGGGACTTGTAGTTTGACAACAGCTGGAGGTCCGCCAGTTTGACACCTGTGCTCTACAGTACGCCTTTAGTGCCATGCAATAAAAAGAATGCCTGTGCTCTACAGACATGGTCATATAATATCCACAAGCTGTTAGGTAAAGTCCCCACTAAGTATGGGAAGCGAACATGTGCCTTTTCTGCAAGACACAATGGTAAAGAAGAATTTTAGGAGATAGATTTGTGGGTGCAGTACGGAAATCAAAACCTGGCTTGAAAGGATTTCAAACTACTTCTTTGGTCACATTCTTTAGTATAGTAGGTCACATATTTATCTTGTGCATGTTGATCTCTAATGGACCATTAATAAGTGTATGCAAGGAACATGTAGGCTGGTGACAATAGTAGCTCAGTAAAAATCCGACTTCACCATGCCAAGGGTAGGCTGAGAAAACCCATAGGGATACTAGACAACTATGAGCACCTGCAGGGACTAACCATCCCCCACCCCCTTCTTATCTAAAACCAACTTCAAGCAATCAGTTTTCCCTGAGTTCTCCATATTTCTACTGATATGAACTCCTCACCTTGAGCAGCCACTTGTTGTAGAAGGTGATCCCGATGGAAAAACAGTAGTAGAATAGGACCAGCCCCACTGTGAAGAGTATTTTCCATAGTATGGCCCAGCAAGGTATGCCCATCTTGTCAGCCGCACCAATACTTTGTTGCATTACAATGTATAGTGGCAAAATGAACCTAAAAAACATAAAATACGGGATTATGTCTGCAAGACACTTACCAGAAAAGTCAAGTCATTCATATTGCTGCCTTCCTCGTATGACTGTAAGGGCTCGTTCACACTAGGCTGTTTTGCCAACGCTTGCCAAACGCCCCTATAGCGTTTGGCAAGCGTTGGTCCAGCATTTCCGGAGCGTTTTTTAACGCTCGGCAAACGCTCCGCAAACGCCGCATGCACGGTTTTAGCGGCGGTTGCTAGGCGTTTGCCGAGCGTTAATAACGCCCCACAAATGCCTATAATGCAGTTTGAGTGGTGTTACCGCTCCGCAAACACCCCGCAACCGCGTCACAACCGCACCAGCAAACGCCGGCCGGGCGTTTGCGGAGCGGCACCATAGACGAGAATAGGAGGCTTCAACGCCTCCTGACTCGTCCAGAGGCATCCGTTTTGCCACGACGCGACGCAAACGCTCCCATTAGAACAGCACCATGTGCTGTAATGTGCAGAATTGGCAGAGGCGTTTGGGAAGCGGTAAAAACGCTTCCCAAATGCCTCTCTGCCGCCTGCACACAGCGCTAGTGTGAACGTAGCCTAAGGCTGGCCATACATTATACAATTATCTGCAGATTTTCTGCCCAATTTCCTTTAGATTTACCTTCAACTATGTAGTGCAAGGGCCTGCCTAATTGGATATAACTGATAGTGTTGTTTAGGTTTGTCCTCCTATTATATGGTTTTTGGTAAATCTAAACCAAAAATCTGCAGATAATTGTATAATGTATGGCCAGCCATAATGTTTCTTTTTACTGGTTTTCCATGGAGTAGACAGAGAACTTCAAGCAGCTCTGAAAGCTCCAGCAGCTGGTTCAGAGTATTGCCAATCAGTCTCCTGGTGTGAGTGCTGCTGTATAGGCTGACATCATTAGATTCAGAACCGAGTTAATACAATATAAAAATATAGAGAAATAATGTAACAATGTATCTCTGCAAGCTTGAACTTGTTCTGTTATTTAGAAACTATCCCTTTCAGGAGAAAAGCAATGGAAGCCTCCAAAATATTCTCATGACAAGTTTACTTTAACGGCTTCTATACCGGGCACTTTTACACCTTCCTGCCCAGGCCAATTTTCAGGTTTCAGCGCTCTCACACTTTGAATGACAATTGCGCGGTCATACAACATTGTACCCAAACTAAAATTTTATCATTTTCTTCACACAACTAGAGCTTTTTTTTGTGGTATTTAATCACCGCGGGGTTTTTTTATTTTTTGCTAAATTAACAAAAAAAGACCGAAAATTTTGAAAAAAAAAAACCCCACATTTTTCTTTGTTTTTGTTATAAAAGTTTGCAAATAAATAATTGTTGTTTAGAAATTTAGGCCGAGATGTATTCTACTACATGTCTTTGGTGAAAATAACCCAAATTAGGATGTATTATTTAGTTTGTAGGAAAGTTATAGAGTTCACAAACTATGGATATATCTGAATATTGATCAATCCTGAAGTGCTGATAGCCAATCTAATTTCTTGAGGTCCAAGAATGTCAGAACAGTACAGATATCCCCCAAATGACCCCTTTTTGCAAAGTAGACAGTCCGACGTATTTCATAAGAGGCATGGCGAGTTTTTTGAAGTTGTAATTTTTTTGGAAAATGAAAAAAAAAATTAAAAAAAATTATTTTCACTATTTTTTTTTTTACATACTGTCACCAGTGCAGTACAGCGTCATCATATAACTGGCATGGCGTGAGCAGGGACACTGACTAGTGACAGTATGGAAAAACAAATTATAATTTTTTTTAATTTTTTTTATTAGTTTTAATTACATTTTAGTTTTCTTTTTTTTAAGATTTTTTTTCATATTTTACTATGACCAAAGTAGTACAATGTTACCATAGTAACAGTGTACTACTTTGGGGAAGTGATCAGTATTTTTTTTTTTTTTTTTTTTTTTTTACACAATTTGCTTATAGCAAAGAATTACTTTGCTATAAGCAAGCATTTACCTCAATTACATCGATTCATTCAGGGTTTTTTTTTGTGCTTAGCTGTGATTTGGCCACAGCTAATCACGACACAGCTGAGCTGTGATTGGCCCAGCTTGTGCATGTGATCACTGTGACCATTCACAGCTAGACACACTAGTATACAATGGATGGCATGAAAGGAAGCCATTCATTGTATACAACTGTCATGTGACCTGCTATGATTAGTCACAGCAGGTCACATGGTACCAGCAACAGGGAGCGGTACACAGATCTGTCATCAGCCGCGTCCGTGGTACACGGCCGGTGAAAGATTGCACCGCTGCGCGGCTCTGCAGGCATGCAAACTGCGCATGCCTGAAAGAACACCATATGGCATCCACCCGGAGGGACGAGGGGTTTTGCAGACCACCATCTGGCTATAGGTCGGGCGGGAAACCTGTTAAAGCAACAAACTTAGATAGTTCAGTGTGAGCATTTGATAAAAAATAAACAAACACAAATGTAGAGATGGGAAGATCTTGAAAATAAAAATGAAAAAGAAGAAGAGTGTGGAATATGTTCTTTTACAATAATAAATAATATATCTATGACAGGGTACTCAAAACTATATTACATGATTTCTGAGTCCTAAATTATCACAAGTTCTCTCAGCTGAATTCAAAACAAATCTTGGTATACAATTCAAGTAACACTGCACTTCTCAAACAAGAGAAATTTGCATTTCTGCCACTAGGGGGCACTGCAGGGGAAATACTCCAGTTTAGTTTGCTTGTGGGCTCCATATTGTACCTCCTACACTTAGGTGATTGTTGGGATACAGTAGATAATAGTTTCTGTCCTCTCAGGCATTGACAGGTAAGATAGTAAACTTGTCTGACAAATTAGTTTATCTTCATAACCTTTAAATGATTCCTATGAATACTCTCCACCAACACAGCATAATGTTTCCCTATAGTCTGCCCAGTAAATTGGATTTTCTTTTCCTCCTGTCATGAAAATGGTGAGACCAACATCTAGACCAGCGGTTCTCAACCTGGGGGGTCGAACGACCATTTCACAGGGGTCGCCTAAGACCATCGGAAAACACATATTTCCGATGGTCTTAGGAACCGAGACACCGCTCCTCTGTCTCAGGCGATCTGTGGGCGGGATGATATGCTGCCCCTGTCACCTGGCCACACCTCCGGGATCACTCAACAGCTCCGCCTCCTCGCCGCTGATTGGCCACCGGAACTGTAGCTCAGGAGAGGCACACAGGCGGCCAATCACCGGCGAGGAGGTGGAGCTTGGAGAGGAGGAGCCGAGCGGCAGCGCGCGCGGAGATCAACGAAGATCGAGGGAGCTGCAGGAGCGAGTGAAGAGAGAGGCCAGAGAAGGAAGACAGCTGACAGGTAAGTGCAAATTTTGCTGCTGCAGCCAGGTATGCAGGCTGTAGATGGGAGAGGGAGAGAGCGAGCCCAGGCTGGAGCAGGAGTCAGCAAGGTAAGTATCATTGGTGTCAGTGGGAGGGATAGTGCCCCATCATTGGTGTCACTAATACCAACGATGGGGCACTATTCCTCCCCCCACTGACACCAACGATGGGGCACTATTCCTCCCACTGACACCAACGATGGGGCACTATTCCTCCCACTGACACCAACGATGGGACACTATTCCTCCCACTGACACCAACGATGGGGCACTATTTCCTCCCACTGACACCAATGATGGGGCACTATTGCTCCTACTGACACCAATGATGGGGCACTATTCCTCCCACTGACACCAATGATGGGGGCACTATTCCTCCCACTGACACCAATGATGGGGCACTATTCCTCCCACTGACACCAATGATGGGGCACTATTCCTCCCACTGACACCAATGATGGGGCACTATTCCTCCCACTGACACCAATGATGGGGCACTATTCCTCCCACTGACACCCAATGATGGGGCACTATTCCTCCCACTGACACCAATGATGGGGCACTATTCCTCCCACTGACACCAATGATGGGCACTATTCCTCCCACTGACACCAATGACGGGGCACTATTCCTCCCACTGACACCAATGATGGGGCACTATTCCTCCCACTGACACCAATGATGGGGCACTATTCCTCCCACTGACACCAATGATGGGGCACTATTCCTCCCCCCACTGACACCAATGATGGGGCACTATTCCTCCCCCCACTGACACCAATGATGGGGCACTATTCCTGCCACTGACACCAATGATGGGGCACTATTCCTCCCACTGACACCAATGATGGGGCACTATTCCTCCCACTGACACCTACGATGGGGCACTATTCCTCCCCACTGACACCAACGATGGGGTACTATTCCTCCCACTGATACCAACGATGGGGCACTATTCCTCCCACTGACACCAATGATGGGGCACTATTCCTCCCACTGACACCAATGATGGGGCACTATTCCTCCCACTGACACCAATGATGGGGCACTATTCCTCCCACTGACACCAATGATGGGGCACTATTCCTCCCACTGACACCAATGATGGGGCACTATTCCTCCCACTGACACCAATGATGGGGCACTATTCCTCCCACTGACACCAATGATGGGGCACTATTCCTCCCACTGACACCAATGATGGGGCACTATTCCTCCCACTGATACCAACGATAGGACACTATTCCTCCCCACTGACATCAGTGATGGGGCACTATTCCTCCCACTGACACCAATGATGTGGCACTATTCCTCCCACTGCAAAATTACAGTTATGAAGTAGCAACGAAAATAATTTTATGGTTGGGGGTCACCACAACATGAGGAACTGTATTAAGGGGTCGCGGCATTAGAAAGGTTGAGAACCACTGATCTAGACTTTTCCACAGTGCAATTTCTGCTGAGAGTAAAACTGCAATTTGCAAATATTGTGAGAAGAAATATTCTTTTCCAAATGCTACAAGGATGACAAAATACATCCTGACATGCCAGAGGTGCCCTAAAGACATTGAAAAATACTTTATGGAATTAA